CCCGGCCCCTCCGGGGGCTGCTGCAAGCTCCCTCCCGAGGGGGCTCGCCCCTTCCCTGGACAGTGGCAGCGGCCCTCGCTCCGGGAGCCCTTTGCCCATCCCGGGGGGACGTCCCGGCTCCGGGCCAGATCCAGAGTGGAAAGTGGCCAAGAGGCGAGGGCAGCTTTTCCCACCGAGGCATTGTGTTTGCAGAGCTCTGCGCTGCCGTGCACACGCACACCGAGCCTCCGAGTAACCACGGGCTGTTCTCTGCTCTTCCTCTCTTGGTAGACGTGAGATCTCATTTCTGAATTAAATCAATTTGGCATCAGTTAATGGCTTATTACAGCTGATAATTCATCATGTATTTAAGGATTTAAGTGACGTTTGTCCAATTCACACTCAAAGTCTTCCGTCAACCAGGGGGTTTAATGGAAATGGTTTTGTATTCCCCTCTCCTCTCCCTTTGCAGAAGGAGGCATTAATCCTACATACTTTGGTTCAAAGTGGGAATGACATACAAGGAAAAAATGTTGAAAGCAGAGCCTAAATGTTCTGCCACTCAGGGATATAGCCACTTGGCTATAACCACTTCTGCCCTCAGCGAAGATCGGGCCAAATCTGCCCCCCTCCTCCCATGTCACACTAGCGGGTGCTTTCCAGCCGGGTGAGCAATGACCTTTCCTATTGATTGTGTCTCATTTGTCACTAGGCATTCTGCATTAAACTGGGGAGTCTTCTCTGCTGCGCTGACAGCAAGCGACTATATCTCAGATGCTAATCTCAGACTCATTGCTTTTTAATCTCATTATGGGGTAGAGGAGACTCTGTCTGATAGCAGGTCACCAGTGATGGCTGTGTCAGCCACTCTGTGAAGTCCCAGGGGGGAAGCAGAGCAGAGGGTACTGCATATTCATTCGTGTACCCCTCTTCCACTTCAATGCTGTGACTTGCTGGGCGGTTCTGTCCCTGGAGGATGTTGGTGCTCCATGCTTACGCACTGACATTTGAGAGCAGTGAAGCTCTCTGTGTGGATCAGGCTAGATGCAAGAGAAAGGGTGGCAGGGTTACGGCTCAAGGTGAGAGGCAAATAGTGAGATGAAAGCTTTGCGAGGCGATCAGTGTCTGTCAGAGCCAAAGTGTTGGAGCTTAGCAATGACTTAGTGACAAGTATACAACTGCCAGCCGACTCGCATGCCTGGGCTGCAAACAAAGGTATTTCCTTGGTCATGCTGTGTGAATAAGCCGCTTCTATTCTCAGCAATCAGGAGGGCAGAGCACAGTGTGTCAGCCAGAGCTGACTGGTAAGGGGAAGGCATTGCAAAGACAGCAAGTCCCAGTTCCAGCCCTTCAGCTGATGGAGAATGAGCCACATTTCAAGTGGTCACTGATTGTGGGTTGCCCCAGGGCCATGCTTTGTGGAGACACAGAGGCAACTACAGCTACTCCTGGCCCCCCCGCCACAAATTCTTTTTGTCCTGTCTTGTGCTACTAATGCAACTAGTGCAGCGCATAAACTGAATGTGGCCCTTTCTACAGTCCAGGTGGTGTATAGCAAGGGCAAAAAGTGAGAGAAAATGACACAGGCACAAGGAAAACCGATGTCTCACAGGGTGGCGATGGGCTCCAAGTAGGTTATGCCTACATATCTGCAGAGGGGAATGCTTTCACACCAAAAGCTGTCATGGGGGACAAGGAAACTGAGGCGTCAGATAAATATGAAAGGCAGAGTATGAAGAAAAAGTGGCAAAGGATAAAGGCAACCTGAGAAAAGAAGAGGGCAGCTCTGAAGAGGGACCCAAACGGACTGGAGATCTGTGAGCCAGGGGACTCTGGCAGGCCTGAGGATGCCTGGGCCAACAGGGAGAAAAAAATATTCTTTACAAAGTGAGTGTGCAAGAAATGCTGGAGACAAGAAAAGTGGTATTACTTTCTGCCAGAGGAGGAAGAGAAAAGGGTGGATATAAGATTTCCTGTCTGTTTTGGGGGGTGGATTCCTTGGAAATGGGAATGTCTCTGGGCAGATTGTATATGAAGCTCCCCAGCATTTGCCTGCAGAAACAGAAAAACAGATGGAAAGAGACCCAGCAGGGAAGTGAAATCTCATTTATCTGCACAATGCCATCCTCCTGGCTCCAGCCAGCTCTCTGCATGTCAGCTAGCACAGAGCCTACCCCTTCCATTCTGCTCCAGGCCTTCCCAAGCCCATCCATCACGCTATGGCTTCTTATTTACAGGGAGCCTGGCACACGAAGCTGGGTTTATTGTCTGTCATCCCTGCCGCTCATGCACATGACACACATGTAGATGCACACACACTTTGTCTACTGCTGCAGCTTGAGATTGTCTGGAGTCCAGGAAATCTTTACGCACTCCTGCCAAAGTCTGAGCTTACCAGACCCAAAGAGCTATTGGGCCCAGAGTAAAAGCTTGGGTCTAGCTTGGTTCAGCCCTTGAGCATGCAAACGGCATCATCTGTGGTTTGGGCCAATAAAGGATCTTGACATTCTGTGTTTCTGGGTTCAAGAGTTTTGGTCCTCTTTGCTGTGACAGGAAGAACATATGTGAAAGGATAAGGTGAGGACTGTCAGGTATCATGTGGTCATTTGATCAGATATATGAATGGTTGTAATCAATCTGATGTCCGTGCTTTGTCAAATATAAAGCAAATGCAAGCAGGGGCAGCGTCAGAGCCTACTTCTCCACTAAGATGACAGAGCCATATTCATAGGGGAAAAACATGCTTGAGTTTATGTGTGTTTGTTCAGTGCATGGCTGCCTTGACAAAATGCAAGCAGAGAAAAGACTAATACTATTAGTATTATAATAATATAATAATATTTAGTATATAATATAATATAATATAAATGTAATATATAATATTATTATACTAATTACAGTGAGTCCACAGGAAAGTTGCTCAGGATGCAAAAAATCTAATTGTGCATGGATCAAAACTAGTGGCTGAGAGACAACACAGCACTGCAACTCATTCATCAGCCCTGAGCCTGCACCACAGGTAGCTCTAAGGCCTTATCCTTGCTTGACACATTTTCCTGTTAGTAGGCAGATTTGCTACCTCAAGAGGCAAGTGGTTCATATTCCTGAGGGAAGCGCGAGGTGCTAGGATGAATTAGGAGGATGTAGGTCTGGTAATGTGGAGAACTACAGGAGCGGCTTAGCTTGGCAAATGCTTTCGCTTTTTCCTTTATTAATATACCAACCCGAAGAAGAGAATGAATGCTGGACTTGATGTAACATGTGCTTTTGTTTTAGAGCAATTTGGGAAAGGCACCTCCTTACAAGGCCAGGCTTCCCCCTGCCAGGCATGTGTCTCAGCTCAGGGCAGAACTTCACCTTCTGCAGAAAAGGCGGATCAGCAGAGTGAGGACATTGCTGTCAGGACACCTACAAGCCCCTGCGCTAGCACTGGCTTCTTTGTCTCAGGACTGGGGTCCTGAGAGAGGGGAGGGTGGAGTTTGCTTTGGAGCTCAGACATCAGGAACCTGAGCACTGAGAAGAATCAGGGATGCTGTTGTGTTTTCTAGCTGCCTGTTGGATGTGTGAGTTTTACAGCTTCTGTAGCGCAACCAGGAGGAGGAAGGAAGAGGTTTCTGAAGTTACAAGCATATCAGGACACAGAGACAAGTGGCTGAGAGAAGGCTGGGACTTCTGTACCTCTAACAGCAGTGTGGCATTCGCCTAAGGTACCAAAACTTGTCCATGCACTGTTTTGGTTGGACAAACAGCTCAGAGCTCCCCCGATAACAGTGCAGTACAGGTAAATATCTGCATTACTAATACGGGGGTCCCACTGACACAATAACACAATAACGCTGGCATGCCATCTGAGCCAGTGCCGAGATGGAGCAACCCGTGTGCTTCAGCTGCACTTTCATGCTGTGTCATGCCAACAGGACAGCTGGGCATCTTAAACAAGCAGACCTTCTGTTTAAGTGCCCTGCAGCATTTAGCTGTTTTCTAGCTCCTGCAAGAAGCCAGTGTCTGCAGCTAATGTGTCTGTCAGGTTCACCATCAAAGGGCCTGTGTATGTGTGAGTGACTGATCCGTGAGGTTGGAGGCACACATTCGCCTCCAACCTCACATTCGCTTTGCACTTGTTCTCTCCTTTTGGCATTTTGCCTACAGATGAAAAGGTAAGATGCTGTCTCCAGATCTTTGAGTTGTTCTGTGTGTTGCCTTGATCCTGCTGGTTTGCGCCATCTCTTAAAGAGAAAATTCTAGAAAAAAACAAAAACAGTGGATGCAGAGCTTTGGTTTTGCCTGATTGCTATTTGTTCCACTGGTTTTGAAGCAGGAACTTCAAGTGCTTTGCTAACAGATTTAGCTGTCAGTCTGGTTTTCCTTTGTTCCAAGTGGCTGCCAGTAAAATACTATTTTGTAGTATTATGCCTGCAGCAAATGAGCTACCTAGCACCTCCCAAATCAGTCCTCAACTTGCAGTTTGTTGTCTTTTGTGGCCCGTGGAAGGACCTGTTTTTCAGACACCGCATTAAAGAAAAGGCCCCTATGCTGCCTGCCTATTTCCACGGGAGGCCTGGACTTTGAAAGTCTGCTGGCAGGCATGCGATGTGTCACATCTCAGGCTCTGAGCAATGGCAGAGGTGAATCTTGGGAAGGCAGAGCCTGCTAGCGAATGGGTGAGCAGGGTTTTTCAGTTAGAGGATGGAGACATCTCTCTCTGAGCTCCCCAGTTGCTACATGGAGCTGGGGCTGCTATGATGGCAGAGGTCTCACTGACTCAAAACATTTCAGATCTGTCTCAGGGGTTGAAAAAAAAAAGAAGAAAGAAAGAAGCAAGGCCATTCTTAGGGTGCCTCCTGCCAGGTCCACAACAACGCACTGGGCCTGGCCTCAAAGGATGTTACCTAATCCCCCTCACAGGTGACAGTGTCAAGCAGCAAAGCTCCTGGAGCAGGGAGCGTAAGCCATTGCAATTGTGTAGCAAAGTTCACTTGGTACCAGACAGATGCAAATCGGGAGCAACTGAGAGCTGGGGTGCAGGAAACATGGGGGAGAGGGTTGAGGAGTGAAGAGCTGTGGTTGTAGCTTTGTGATGGCATTTCTTTTACTACTGTAGGCATAGCCCTGGCTTCCGACATTCAGTGTCACTGGGAACTCTGGCTTTAAGCATGCCTTCACACTGCCAAGATTGAGAGGGGTGGGCTGAGACAGCTACCCCAAGGTGAAAGACAGCGTTGGAAATGCAGAGCGTTCTGCAGAGAAGAGCAGGGGACAGTGGCCTAATTAGAGAAGTCTCTAACTTGTGCAATGTCCCAAAGCCAGGTCTCTTCACACAAACCCAGGGATGAAGAAAGTCCCTTGAAAATACAGCAGTGAAGCAGAACAAATGAGAATGCTCTGCATCCACTGTGCAGAGGGACTGCAAGAGTTCTCTGGACTTAAATTACCCTCCTAGTGACGGTATCACCTGCAGGGTGAGGTGGAGTGACTTGTGCAGGGTCAAGGGGGGAAAGTGGGACACTGCAGGGAGAATCCAGCCTCCTTTCCTGCCCCTTGATCTAAGACCAGCATCCCCTGCCCTGCTGACAGCAGATTTAGTTCCCTGCTACACCGTGAGATATCAGCACAGTTTCCAGTGTTTACTCTCTCCTTGGCCAGTTTTAGCTGCTCTGAAGCAGTGTGTGTGCGTGTGTTTGTGTGTGTGTGCCTGTCCATCTTGAGTGCTCAGGGCTGTTGTTGTTGCCAGTCCTGCGAGGCCACCATCTGCTTCCAGTTCTGTTCATCCTGACATCTTCATTGCAAGGAAACCAGCTGTGAGGTGGGGGTGCTGGTGCCATCCAGGCCCAGGATGCCAACCTGGCAGCAAACGGCCCCAACTTGACAGCTGGTGCTGTGCAGGCGCTGTGGGGGCTCTGGCCTGCAGGAGCCAGCATCCCCAGCCCCTCAGATGGCAGGCTGTGAATGGGAGGGTAGGGGTCTAGTCGGGAATCAAAGGGAAATGTCCCACTGATTGATGGCCCTCATTTGCACATGAAGCTGGGACCTCTCATCCCTGCAGGCCCTGCATGTGTGTCTCAGCTGCTATAACCAGGGCTGGGAGAAGAGGATGTAACCAAGGAGGGAATAACTCCTTGGAATTTTGGCAACCTTTGCGGTTCCTAGAAGTTAGTTGTCTCATTTTGGTTTTCACTTGCAGGTGAGGCAGAGCACCCAGAATTATGGCATCTTTTCCCACCACCTCCTCCCTTTTCCTTCTCCTGTGCATACTGGCTCTTTCTGACATCAGCCTTGTGGTCTCCCTGGATACTGGCACGAAGCTCAGAAATGTCCCAGAGAACAACAACCACCTTCAAAACCAAGAGCTGTGGCCACAGCAGCCCAGAAGTGGGCATCACCACAAGCGTGGATTGGCCAAGAAAGAGCGGGTCCATGCCATGCCTTCTAGAGGGCAGCCAGCCGGGGAAGAGGCCCTCAGAACGGGGAGTGGAGCTCCAGCTGTGGAAGAGCTGGCAGCGGTAGGACAGCCAGCAGCCCTGAAACAGGATAAGGATGTGTTCCTGGGTTTTGAATTCCCATATCCTGAGAGGGAGAACCAGTCCCCAGGGTCTGAGAGGGGAAAGAAGCAGAACCGAGAGCACCGGCGGCACAGCCGCAGAGACAGACTGAAACACCACAGAGGTATTTGAGCTCCAAGGGAAGCTGTGGCTGCTGGGTCACTTGAAATGAGTGTTGCCTGTGTGAGGGCAAGAAGATGCAGCTGTGGTTGAGCCATATGGGTGTGTGGAGGGTGTGGGATGTGTGCCTGCTCTGGGGAGAAATCTGCCAAACAAAAGAGGCACGAGAAAAAAGGGAACTCCAGAATCGGAGGTTTTCACTGCTGGCTGCAATTTTGTGAAAATGACCTGGTTTGCCTCATGGGGGGAGTTTTGAAAGTTCCTGGGACTGGGGTTTTGTTTTGTGTTTTGGGGTGGCCTGCTTTTTTTCTGCTTTTCAGCAAAATGGTTCAATTATGAACAAGCGTGTCCGAGCCATGCTCAATCTCTCCACTGATTTCAAAACATGACGAGAACTAGAAATAATAAAACAACCCCACTTAAGCTGACCCTACCGGTTTCTTCTCATCAGAACCTGTATTCTTCCATATTTCAGCCGAACTAAGTCGAAAAAAAGTTGGCTATAAAAATGTAACTTTTGCAGGTGTGAAACTGCACTAGCTATGTTAAAATGTTGCCAGTTTTTGAGTATTTTCCATCACAGGTTGAGTTATGGGTATGTGTCTGTGTGGTGTGATGTGCTCAGTGTTGTAAATCTTTATTAGTCCTATCAGCCCTATTAAAGCCAGGCAATGTATGTCAATCTATGCCATTTGACAAGTTTGGTGACTGTCCCTGACTTCCAACTATCACTCCTCCCTACTTCAGTAAGAAGAGCTCTACTCTTTTCTCAGGGGGACTGGCTAAACTGCCTGTGTTAAGCAATATAGAAGAGCATGCAACAGACACTGGTTTGAAGCAATATTTGCAGAGTACAAAACAGGTGTTATTTCTTTGGTTTAACTTCAGGTGGGTATTTAAACTAATACTTAGCAAAATCAGCGATCGGTCTGTGAAGATACTCCTATTTCAAGTTCGGTAGGTCTTGACTTGAGCTAAATTAAAATATTCCAATCTTAAAATGAAATAAGAGCATGTCTAGATGAATTTGCAGCTTAATACTTTGGTTTAAAAACAGTTAAATGGGTACTTTTTATATTCTTGAGACCAGAGAACAAGGATTGTTCCCAAAATAATTGTCTGTCTATGTCTATAGCTTGAAGAAGTTTTGAAGATTCTCATTTGTGTTAGGAAGAAATCCATTGCTTCTTAGGCAGGATACAGAAATATCTTCAACAAGGTGCTGTTACGTACGGCTTGAGTGTGTAAGAACTAAGGTGCATCTACTCTGGGCCTGATCTATCCCTTTGATCTAATAGCACATGACTCTGCACTGGTATAAATGGCAGCTCAGGGTGATGGAAGGATGGCCACTGGCTGGATGATATTTGGATTCCTTGACCCAAATCTTTTCACGGTGCACAGAAAGGAAGGTGAGAAAGTTAATGTGACTGGACCTGTTGCCCTCTGCAGGGAAGACTCCTGATGTTGGGCCAAGTTCCCTGTACAAGAAACCTGAAAGTTTTGAAGAGCAGTTTCAAAACCTCCAGGCGGAGGAGGCTACAAGTCTGACACCCACCATGCTTCACTTCACTGCACTGGAACTGGCAGCTTCCACAGAAGAGCCTCCTGTTCTTCCAGCCACATCACCGCGGTCACAGGTAAAGGGACAGTTGGTAACTGCACTGTACCTCTAATATAGGCAGAAATGTCCTGCAGCTAGGGTCTGGTTTCCTTTTTTTTTCCCCACTTAGAAATAAGTGTTTGCCTAATACCAAAGCCCTCCCTCAAAAGCGTCCCTCTACCTTCTAAACACCTCTTCTTCATAAAGAGTTCCTTTAGTTGCCTCTCTTCCCTCTCCTACATCTCCCTTAGCTGGTCATCTTCATTCAGTTTCAAGGACCAGAGAGACAGTAGGAGCACTTGGCTGGAGAGGCAGCATATCCTGACGTTCCTCAGTGGCCTTTCTTCCTCACATAGAAGCAGTGACAACTTTCCTCTTGACTTCTACTGGAACGAGGGAATGCTGAATGTTTTAGACAAGTTCATCCTTGAACTAATTTCCTTCTGAAAATGAGATGACAAGAATTCCCAGTAGACAAGGCAAAGGAACCCAAGGCACTATTAAGGTGTGAAAGCACCAGGAAAACTTGCAAAGACTTTGATATTGCTACAGAAGTGTAATCGATTGTCTCTTTGGTTCTTTGTGGTCTGCAGACCCGCCTCAGGCAAGATGGGGATGTGATGCCCACCCTAGATATGGCGCTCTTTGACTGGACAGACTATGAGGACCTCAAACCAGAAATGTGGCCATCTGCTAAAAAGAAAGGTGCTATACTTCCACTGTTGACCTCCCTGTCCTCTTTTCCAAAGGTCGTTCTCTAAGGCTTGGCCTACGGTTAGTGTTCACAATTATGCTGAAAGGAGTGAGATCGTAGGAGAAGTGGTGGGGAGAGAGAGGAAGAGCATAATGCTGATTGTATTTTGTGCTCTGTTTCAGCTTGTTTCTCATTTTGGTTGAATGGTTTGAGGGTAAGGGAAAAATGATTAGACGAGGGGTTCAGAAGTAAGGAGGAGACTAAGCTAGAGGTTCAGACTCCGGAAGCTTGAGGCTGCTTTCACCCTGGAACAATTCAGTTACCAAAATGAAAACACTAGCGTGTAATTTTCTATCAGCATCTGTTCTTTTCCATAGAAAAACGCCCCAGTAAGAACCCCAACAGTGGGAACGAAACTGCGTCAGCCGAAGGAGAGCCGTGTGACCATCATCTTGACTGCCTCCCAGGTCAGGAACAGTCTGACAGAGCTCCTTCTCCAAACATGAGACTGATGTTTAAAATATCAGACATGAGCCTAGATTTTAGCATCAGTATCCTAATTTGTAATACTGACAGAAAATGGTATGCCGAGGGATGGGCAGAGGCTCCCTGGGGTGTGGTCTGGGAAAAGATGATGTCTGTAACATGAAGCTGTCCTGGGTGTCAGTAGCTCTACAAGGGGATAAATCAGCTATGCTGATCCCCGTTTCTGTGTTGGCAGGCTCTTGCTGCGACTTGCGTGAGCACCTCTGCAAACCACACAATCGAGGCCTCAACAACAAATGTTATGATGACTGTATGTGCACTGAAGGTGAGTTCAGCTTCATGTCCCCCCCTCTCCAGCTAGCTTAGTTGCCTGGGACCAATGGTGTATAGCTAGAAACAGGAGCCAAGCTCTGCTGTTCTGAGTTTCCCTGTCATTGACTCACACTGTGACCTATGAGTCATCTGAGACATCTTGTTTTCCCTCCTGAAAATATCTCTGGACCTATTTAACAGAAGAAGCCACAATATATTAACACCTCAATGATGCTTTGAAGTCTCGCAGATTATAAAACCAATCAGACTACTATCCTTGTTTTACATGACCTTATGCCTAATAGGGCTCTCCTGAGTTAATTTCCACCGAAACTGTAGCAGTTTTGTTGGTGTGGGCAGGACACAGACTTCCGTTTCTTAAAACTGTTTCTGAAGAATCCACAGCAGCCCTTAACAGACAGTTGCAACGTGAAGAAGTTGAAAGGCACTTTTCTAATCTGAACGTGTTCAGGATCAGCTCTACTCACTGGGTCTTCAAAACTCTTGTTGCTAAGTGTTGTGACCTGTATAGATATCCAGTGACTTTGACCAGGTCCCTTCACCTACTTTTCAGACTGATTTCCTGGAGTAGCAGGCCTAAAGGATGGTCTTCACCTTGGGTGTGCTGTGCAACACTTGAAGGTCCTCATCGAAGAGGATCTTCTGATAGATTAGCCTAGAAGAGTGCTTCTGCAAGTCTCAGGAGGGCTGCCCCAGGCCTTGCTTTATATTTTAGTTATAAGCTGATGCCAAATGTGCATCCTCTGTAGCATAAAAAGATCCCCAGAGATGTAGGATCCGGACAAGACAGAAAAGATGCTTGATAAGAGCAGAGCATCTAATCTTGTGTGCTTTCCTTACGGGAGGCTTGACTGCCCGGGGGCATTGGTAATGAGGGGCAGAAACCCGTCCTCAGGGTAGCCTGGTCATAGTGCATAGCCCAGGGACATGCACTCCAAAAGGCTGCTCAGTGACCTGTGACATTGGCTGGGTCTCCAGTGTACAAGTATTCAAGGACAGTTTTATTAGCTGTCTCATTATAGAAGCTATAAATCCTCAGCCTTCCCCACTGTGGGGGTACTGGCACTGTTGCTATCTGCTGTCTGCTCTGGGAGTACATAGGGTTGCAGCTTCTAGGATGATCAAATCAGCTCCTTCCAAGAACCCCAATGATCCTGGGCTACTGAAAATCAGGGCTTTTGTGGGAGTTATTTGCACACAGCTGCCCCCAGTCTAGCCCAACTTGCTATGCCTTCTGCTGTAGCAAAAATCAGACAACAGACACCAAAAGACAAGCATACCAGTACCAGAAACAGATGACTCTTACCCTCACCAAAGGCTCCCATTCCCTCCCACTGTCGCGGGAGGCTGTGTACTGATGCTTTTTACAAATAAGATGTTTTTCTCCTTACTGTTCCTCAAGGCTATGTCAGATAGCTTCCTTCAGACCCTGCAGAGAAATTGGAGGAGATCAGCAATAAGCTTTGGATCAGACCTCTTCCACAGTAATAACACTTCAAAGTCTCTTCCCTCCTCTCCTGAAGCTTTGCAGAAATAAATAGCAACGGGAGCTCCCCAGCCATTGCTGCTGCACATTAAGTCTGCGGTAATTTCCCAATGGAAAGATCACTTAGACAGTAATGGGAAGTAATAGGGGGGAGTCAAGTGAGGCTTTCTTAAAATCACTGGAAACAATCAGGATAATTCATTGGTATTTCAAGAAGTCAGTGAAACCTTATGCCTGGCCCAATGAATCCCAAACACGAACAGGGAGCCAAACAGAACAGAAGGGTCCAGAAAGCAGTGTACCCTCCCCACTCCATTTGACATGGCCCAGGCTTCCTCATCCTGGGACTGTCCCCACTGTAGTGAGTTTTGTCATGAACGGAGGCTGGGAGCTAGTTGTTTGGTGTTACTGCTGCAGTGAGCGCTGGTCCCTCCTGCTCACCATGTGTGCCTTTTCCATAGGGCTACGCTGTTATGCCAAATTCCACCGGAACCGAAGAGTGACCCGAAGGAAAGGACGCTGTGTGGAGCCTGAGTCAGCCAACGGAGAGCAGGGATCATTCATTAATGTTTAGAGGGGGGGGGACTATTTCCTGCCTCGAGGGTCCGGTGCTGGGGACAAACCATGTGTACCTAGCAATGGGGATTAGAGAAAAAGTCAAGCAAATGATTGAAGCTGCAGGCTCTGAACATGCCAGGCTCCAACAAGACTGATGCTGGTGATGATTTATGAATAGAGTGGTCTCAGCCTTTTCTACACCAGGACTGCCTTCCCCTCCCTTCCCTCAGCACATCCCTGCCATGCAGCTGGGTCCCCCTCTCTCAGTTAGCAGGAGATGATCCTGACTGGCAGTCCGATGCCTTGAGGTAGGGGAAAAGCACTTCAATTGCAACGCTTCCTTGCAACACAGGCAAGATATGAAAGGTCCTGCAGGCCAAATGGTAGATGAGCTTAAGCTTTGCCCCTTAACTATTGCTTGAGAAGAGTGGTAGATGTCTGTTAAGGATCAGAGGTTCTCAGAGGATAGGAAGCTTGCAGCCTCCAGGTGCAAACAAAGACAGGAGTTGAAGATGGATTGGCAGGAAGCTGGCTGCCTAAGTGAGAGGGGACCCTCTAACAGAGCTCTTGCTCTCTCGTTCATTGCTACAGACAGATATTCCCCAGCTGTTACACACTACTGCTTCCTACCTGTCTTCCTTGGGACTGTCCATTCCCACACCTTCTTTCCTTTCTTTCTCCCAGAGAACCACCTGGTTTCTGCAAGGATACAGCAAGAGATCCCAGCCTGCAGCTCTCACTCATTTGGTTATCCTGCCAAGTCTGTTATTTCTAATGATTATTTTTAGGAGCTTTCTGGGGAAGTAATAGTTTTCCTAGAGAGCCAAAAATAAAGTTTTTGGTAACAGGAGATAGGGACCGGCTGTTCCCTTGTAGTAGTACATCCTGTGACATACTGCATGTGCATTTCCATGATATGTAAATAAAGTTATGATAGATACCCTTTGTGCAACTCTTCTGTTGCTTTGACTGCACCTAACCACGGAGCAGTCGCCAGAAAAGTCTGTAGGAGAGTTGGCCAGCAGGAAGCACTGACTGCTTCAGGAAAAAGCACAGAGCAACTGTGCCACTGGTACAAACATTTCTCTACCCATGCTGGGGATCCATGTAGGCCAGTATCCCCCACTCATATTGCAGCTAGCATTCAGTTTCTGCCTGGTACCGTCCAGATGTTGAAACCTTCTTTAAATTACTGCTTAGTTATTGACCTCAGTGATATAGTGGGGCAACATAGGCTATCTGTATTAAACAGGGAAACAGTTAGTTGGTAAGAATGTTCTTTTCTATCGCTATCACCCCAACTCCCTGGCTTCTAGTGAGTGAGCAAGCTCTGCAGTCTTTTGAATGTTAAATACAGGAACCTAGAGATTTACAGCACTTTTTGTAGGAATAGAAATAGTAATCTTGGTGCTGTGGTCAGAATCCTCTCTATGCTGCTTCCCTAAATCCCTCTGCATTCCATTAGGGTAGGCAAATCTCCATTTTGCACTCCTGTTTCTGTTGAGTGTTGCTTAGCACTGTGTGTTCACTCAAATGTTCAAATGCATAGTAGTTTACACCTATCATATAAAGAGCAGCCAGTCATGACTGCAGAAATATGCTATGCCTACAATAGTAGTGCTGACCCACATACATCTGCACTGCTAGGAGATATGCTGAAGGAGAAATTTGTGAAGGAGCATTTAGGCAAAACCTGCCACTCGGTTGGATGCAGCTATTTAGATTTCTGCTTCCAGCATTACAGTCTCAGTCCAAAAATCATGAGTAAAGAAAGGTGTTTGGGACCAGCTCTATGCCATGCTAGCAAGGACGCAATTTGTTAACCCAGAAAGAGAAATGTAGCCCCTCCCTTATCCCAGATGCAGAATAGTGGGTGGTACTGCCAGGGCTATTGTCAGGGAAAGCATAAAGGGAAAAAGGCTTTGATTGATCACAGTCAATTGCAGAGCTCTCAAAGCCTAGTCTGTGTGACACCAGTGACAACCACATGTAAAGTCGTTACCAAAGACAGGTTTGAGAGCACACTGCTTTCCCGCATAGGAGCTGATATCTGTGTTGGAACAGTGCTATTGAAAGGAAGCTGGAAATTTTGTACGGGTCTTCACCCTAGGTGATTCTGTTATTGATTGCCCCATACACTGCATACAGAATCCTTGCAGGATCCAGGCCAGTGTTTTAGGCAAGACTGTGATGCAAATCCTGTCAAATATAAGCAGGTTCAAACTGCAAGTCTGAATTTTTATCAGGAGCCTTTACACTTCCAAAGGGGACCTCTTGCTTTTTTATGCTTTAGGAGTGCTATTAACTCTTGAGTATAAAGAGCAGCTGATTCCTTAATTGGTGGGATTATTTAAATGTCTGAGGACAGTGAAAGTGGAATTAATTATTATCAATCAAGTCACAAGATTATTGGATTGATTTCTCACAACGGAGTTTCAGAAAGAGAGTCCACCACCGAGATCATTCTTTCCAAACCAAACTGTGATGTTGCAGAGATGGAGCAAAAATGGTGAGCCGTGACACGTGCACATGCTGCACAGCCACAGCAGTGCAAAAGGAGTTGCACAATTTGATTTAGGTATCTGCCAGATAAAATACTGACTTCACAATTGCAGTTCAAAGGAAAGCTGTTGAGTAAATAATACTTCAAGGTGTGGAATACAAGCCCAGCTTGTCATATAAAACCCGAGGGCAGCATTTGTACAACAAAAGTTCAACCCGCTCCTCAGTGTAGCAAAGCTTTTCAGTGCTACTCTGTGCTATGTCTTAAGGGTATGACAACACTTGCAGAGTGATACTATCACTGGGTTGCATTTAGCAACTTTACCCTTCCTTCCCACTATCTCCCAGTTGCAGTGCAGTCAGTGACAGATAGTTCTGCCTTTAGAGGCCTTAGCTCTGAATAAGAGAGAGGGAGATCAATGTCATGCAAGTCCTGATTTGTATGTTCTTCTCAAATGATTGTTGGAGAAACTCTCATGAAATTAAGCATCCACACAAGCTCAGCTTCTCTGCTGTCCCCAGAGAGCTTAATCCAGAGCTTTTGCAAGGTTTTCTATTGTCTTGAAAGGACTTTGGATCAGGCCCAAACCAGCTACAGCAGGGCTCTGTGGAATAATTCTGAGAGTTAATTACAGGGCATGCACATAAGTAAGGTGAGTGACCGAGCCCCACCCAAACTCCTGCTCTGGAGTCACTGCTGTTAGCAGCCTCACAATAAATCCAAAGGGCATGCATCGTTCTGAGCCACTTCTCCAAGGGTGAGAGTCATTAGACATGGAAACGAGAGGACAGCGTGCTGATTTGACATAATTATCTCAGCAGCTGCCTGCTCTGTGAATGCAGCTGAATCTCAGGAATATTGCTGGCAGTTGCCAAAATGATGAGTGCAAGCAAGATAAGGAGGGGAAGCACAAATTAAAACACTTGGGAATCACTCTGTCTCAGGTCTGTAATAGTCTGCATTCATTTTAGCTTGGGGGTTGTCTTACTGAAACTGTCTGTCTTCCCCCCCCCCCCCCCCCCCAGCTAATTACCCTGTTGTCAATCCACAGTGTGGAGAAGTGCTTCAGTTTCAAACCCATGCTATAATAAATTGTTCCAGTCCATGCCAGTCAGAGTTTCTACTGCATAAAGCCTGGAGAAAACATTGCTGTTCATGTGTTTTATCAGAAACAACGAGGGCTGTTGTTTTCTTGGAATGTTCTGAGTGATCACATGCACCCCTAAAACCCATTTCTGCTATCTCAATTCATTTTCTAGAGCGCCAGCAAATCTTGAAAAGTAGTCCCTCAATTACCTCTCAAAGCTCTAGTTAGATTTTAGAAAATCAGAAGAGCAGCTCTTCCCTGATGATATCAGAAAAGACTTTCATGTTTGTCAAGATCACACCTTAGTGTAACCCTCCCCACTCCTCAAATCATCTTGCCATAGACTGTTCTGCAGTGAAGCTGCAGGAGGAGGTTCCCCACCAGCATTACAAAATGCCTTCACTTTCCCCTCCAGTCCTAATGATAATGTTTCTGCTTGCTGATTTCCCACTGGGATCTCAGAGAGAGTTTGCAGAGCCAGGACAACTTCTGTATGTCCTTCCTCGCTTCTTATTCAGAAAGGCTCTATAGATAATACACGCATTTGTGCAGGGCGAGTGCCTTCATTGCTCTCAGCTCTCGAGACAAGGGCACAACTCAAAGATACCAGTGTCATCAGCAGTCTTCAGTTACCTTCAGATTAGAGCCTGAGTGAGGGACAAGAAGGGCAGAACTATGAGGGGTGAGCTTGTCTCAATCTCCACAGGCCAGATAGGGACAGCAGGGGCAACTGTATCAGCTCTGCTGCTGCCCTACAGAACTGCTGTAACTTTGTACATCAAAACTACAGTGTCCTGAAGACACAAAGGAAAGCACTTCTGCCTTCTTTGCCTCCTTTTTATGCTGTCACGAAGGGAGCCAGCTGTGTAATAGGTTTTTACCCACCCTGCAGAAGGCATATCACCAATATACTTGACGAACCAGCTATACAATGGATATTATATTAGTTGTACTCAGCTGAACTCACTTGACAAGTCTGCTACTCAGGAAAATCTCCATATCGTCTTTCCAGTCTCCTGGGTCATCTATTTCTCGCTGCAGGTCTTCTTCTTTATCTCGCTGCTTGTCTTTCGCACCATATTTATGTTGCGATTACACAGACAGACAATTTACAAGGTACAAGCAAAGCAAAGCAGAGATAAAAAACAATAAATCCCCCCGATCAGATAGGTGTGAGAGACGTGCAAATGCATAATGTCTGTCACAGTTCTCATTGTTTTCATATCCATGAGATCATGAAGACACTTCTGAGTCCCTCGAGTCCACGACATGCAAGCCCAGGATATAATAAGCAGGGCTGAATTAATTGCACAATACATTGATGAACAAAATGAAGTAAAGTGCTTTTATTGTACAAGGGGAAACGAATGCTTTGCATTAAACAGCAGTCACATCAATCCAAATTATGGCTCGCGCTGTATAAATGATAATGAGACTCTCTGTCTCACTCAGACTGAGTGAACACGTTGAAAGGAGCAAAGACGCCCACTTACTGCTGCATCTAAACAGTGCTTATACTTAAACTAGGCTGCAGCATGACAGTGGAATTTGTCTTTATAACAACATTATTCCTTTGCTAGATACCTGTCCTGGTGGAAGGGCATTCCTATTGCTGTTTTCACCCAAGCATTGAGGCAGCAATAAGGCTATTCAAAGTCTCTCTTTATCTTTTTTTTAGGTGCCACAACTTCTTTTTGCCATTTAGGGTAAAATACAGTCCTTGGCATCACTGGGAGCATTATTATTGATCCCATTTGACACCACTACTTCTGTGAGTGGAGGCAGGGCTTCCCTGCAAGGTACAGAAATGGAAAGAAAGTCACAGCTATTGGGGGATGTGGCAATAGATGAATTATTTTTCAGTCTTTCATCTGGTAAAGTGGTACAACTAGAGATTTTGGGTGCACTTTTACAGCTTTTTTTTCCTGCTGTTTAGCTGCTATGCAGCTAATCAGTTCTCTTCTGGCACTTCTGGTTACCATTTTCTGAGTTGATTCAGTTTGCCATTTAGTACTTTGTCTTGGGAAATCTCAGTGTGCTGTGTATTAGCAGTCAATGGGACTCAGTATGCAGTGAAGGACAGCCTGGATAGAGCTACATTCGTGCTTTGCCTGATGAACTGTGAACACAGGTTCAGCATTGCATCACTCATATGCATAATCTTGCACTGCACTGCTTGAACTAGAAATGGGATTGAACGATGATTCACATATTCAGCCTCTGCAATGAACTTCTGACTCCTTGCTCATTCCTCAGTGGCCCCATCTTTTCTGCTAGAATAAATAATGAGCACACCTGAATGACGACAAGAAAGCACCTGATCCAGTAATGCATTGTGGATGGACACGGC